CATCCAGTATCCTTGTTATGTTTTAGCATAAATATATCAAAATCCATAAAAACAAAACGGTTTAAAATAGTTCTCAGATAAATATTGTAGAATAGAGTTGATCTCATTCTTTTCCACTGGACAAATAGAATTTCAATTGTTTTAAACAATTCAAATCAAATTAAATTTATGCAGTTTTGCTGATAAGGTGAACATCTTTTAGCTATTTTTAGCCTATATTTATTGCAGTGTAAATAGAATTGTCTGCCTCTGTGCGTCACTGACAAAGTAGCCTATTTTAAAAAGAAAACATGCAAATTACCATTTTCTTCAAGTTGTATCCTTCAAATACAGTGGTATTTTTCATAATGTTGTGGAGATGTCTTCACACGACACCAACACCTCTGTTGTACAGTAAGCTATAATCTTTTTGTCCCATTCAAACCGGACAATAGACCGTTCCACCGAATCCAGCAGTGTCCGCCACAATATCGAAGTAAGTGCGCATCAATGATAATTGTTCTCACTAAAAATATTTTCTCATTACATGAGATCTGCAGTTTAGTTTAAAGATAAATTATTGTGCACCTACTACCTATTGAAGAATTGATAGAAAAAGACATCCCAGATTGTGCTTCAAATTTGAGGCCTTTTACTCACTTTTTCTCACTCCAGGAAAAAGAGTGCGTTCGCATGGTCTAGAACAGTGGTCTTCACTATTTTTTTCATGGGAGCCGCACTGATAGGGCAAAGTCAATCGGAGAGCCACTTTTACCGCGAAGTATCAAAAGCTGCATCCAGTCATAAATAGCATGTCTTTTTATTAATCTGTCATATGCAATGCAATGCAATACCACAAAGTAAAGCTTGGCGAGCCGCGCAATGAGTAACACTGGTCTAGAATGTCCGTACGGTGCGTACTTATTTACGCCAAGTTTTTTTTATAAATCCCGATATGTGCGTGGAAAACTATGTACGCAATTTCTATGCCCATTTTGTGCGTACGCAACGTTTATAAATGAGACCCCTGGTCCCCACTGGCTTTCTTTATTCTTTGTATTATTTATTCTATAGAAGTCAATGGAGAATGAAACTGTTTAGCTCCCAACATTCTTCTAAATATTTTCCACAGAAGAACGTCAGTCATAAAGAACTACTAGCATCACGTCTTCTATGAACTTTGTACATTGCACATATTTTTTGCTACAGTGTTAAAATGTTCGATCATACCTGATCTGATCCGTCTGCACGATGCTTTCCTTATGACTCTCGAGACGAGCAGCCAGACGCTCCTTATCCAGACGCACACGCTCTTCATCCTGACAATCACATGCATAAATCATGAGATGTGTCCAAGCATGTTTCTATTCAGCATTTTATTTTTTATTATTATGTCTCTTACCTCAACCCGAGGCTTTTTTGCCTCTAAAGACACTTCATCTGCTGCCCTTTTAACTGTTAAAACAATTGCAATTTAATGGCAGGTAATGGGTGATCATTCAATTAGAGGCACTTTTGACTACTTTAAATATTGAAAAAATTAAATGCCCAAAAATAAAGATCTTATTATGGCCTTTTACGTTTATTTTAACGACAAGAACACACTCAAATCAAAATAAAGCTCACACACCTTGCGTTGGCCTTTGTAAACCAATCTCAATGGGCGCACTTCTGTCGATACTCGTTGATGATGCTGTAAAATTTGATCAAATGACAAACAGGTAAATAATTATGATGTTTTAGTTCAAACGTCTGCTATTCCCCATCACACTTACAGCTTTCTCCATTGAGATAGGAGAGCAAGTCTTTTCTGTCGGGTCGTCTTACAACAGGGATGTTCTCTGTCTGTAATCACAAAAACAGGCTTAAGTTTTACTTTCCAACTCAGCTGTGCACACAAGCTACATTATAAAAGAAACCCATAAAGATAAGGATATTTCCCGTTTATAGACAGCAAACTAAGCTTTAATTAAAACCTGAATATAAAAAGAACTTGCATTAAGCGGACTACCGAATTTTGGGAGAGGGAGGGTTTAAATGTGCCAAAATGACCCAAAATAAATAAATAGTAATACACTTTAAAATGTGTGCTGTAAACTGTGCTTTTGTACTTACTGCGGCTCTCCGCACATAGGACGGGTGAGGAAGATGCACATTGTTGAGCAGGAAAAGAATAGAGTCAAGAGTGTAGTACTCTTTAGGCTGTCCCTCTTTTCCAGTTCTGTAATTACATTAAATTGCATGTTTAAAAAAATATAGGCCTACCCTACACACACACAAACAAACAACACCGTTCAAAAGTTTAAATCAAACAAATTATATCATCAGTATAATTTCTATGCAAAGTTGGATGGAAAAAAAACCCTACTGTATATGTCCAACATATATTTGACAAGAGTTTTTCTGATTAACTGCAAAACAAATGAAGAACCTGCAAGCCAATCATTTGGGAACCTTTTTAAAAAGATACATTTCATCAAAATATATTACAAAACACAGCAACCTTGGATAAACCTTAAATATGACATAAATAATATGAGTTCAGGTGGCTTCACAAGAAAACATGGTGTGCATTACAGTTATATAGCACCTAGCAAAAAAAGCATTGTTGTGGTTCCATGGTACAGTAATAGTATTATACACCATATGATTAACATATGAGTACTATTTACATGTTACTCCAGTGTACTTGAAAGTATATTATGCCCAAAAACATACTCTGAAGATCCTACTTTGTGGTACCAAGTGTTTGATGACAAGGCTTTAAACTCTCAATCAAAGCAGATGATAATGATTCAACACTGTAACAAACGAGAAATTGTTGCGCACGCAGCATCAGTGCAGCCTAAATGTTGTCTTTGCAAACAGCTCAGTGGGTTTTATACAACAGCCAGCATATTAGTAACAAACTCCCGGTGTCTATACACACGAACCCACACTGACTTGCAGATACAGAGCACTTCATCCTGCACAAGAACAGTTCAACACAACGCGAGCTTCTCCACACGAGTAGCGCATTAGCAGCTAAAGCAGCTCAGCTCAAAACAACACGAAGAGCTCAGCGGAACAAGCGCACACTTACCCCCAAATGACATAGTTAGTCTTGACATTTTTAGGCCAGGAGAATTCTCCGAAAATAACTTCATCCCCTTTCGCAACAATCTCTTTTTTCTGGATGTTGTACTGGCGAAGAACACTCAACACGTCCGCCATGATCGCGCCTCCTTCTTCTTCTTCTTCTTCTGATGTTTATTGGCGGTTTTGGCAAACCAACTTAAAGGTGCATTACCGCCACCTACTGATCTGGAGTGTGGAGTGAACAGATTTGGTAGAGAGAAGGATATTATAAAATAAATAAAAAATCCCACAATTACAATTTATATTCTTTCCATATTTCCTGTCCTTTTTTAGATAATTGAACATTTCTTCTTTAATTCTTGATTGCATTTGTCTATTCCCTAGTAATATCTTGAGTGATGATCGCGCCTCCTCATTACGAGTGTTTTATTTAAGACCCAGCAACTTCTCAGTACTGGGGCTGCCTCGAATAGCGCCTATATAAAATTAATAAATTAAACTGCTTTTTTTAAAAGTATTTGTTGAGCTTCAGCCGCAATGGAGACAATATAAGCAAATTAAGTAAAGGGATTATTTATAGGTGGATAAAAGTTAAGTATTAAAAAGTATTTAAGACTCGAATGCACAGCTCAGGCAAATCTGGGGCAGCTAAACCAAACAGCCTCAGGTGCCACTGTCAAGAATCAACCATTTATTCACTGTTACACACAGAGATATAATACACAGATATATATATATATATATATATAAATTAATAAAGTTAAAAAACTTATTTGAAACTTTGAAAAAGTTATATGAAATTAACTTTAAACTATTTTGTCTTATAGAATAGAACTCTAAAATTATATATATATATATATGTATATATATATATATATAATTTTAGAGTTCTATTCTATAAGACAAAATAGTTTAAAGTTAATTTCATATAACTTTTTCAGTTTCAAATAAGTTTTTTAACTTTATTAATTTAATTTAATAATTCCTTGTATCTCTTGTATTTATTTGATTATTGTTTTCTAAATAAGTTCCTAATTATTTTATTATTATATTAAAATATTTTCAGCCTATCATATTCTCTAAAAATAAAAAAATATACTATTAACACTAGGAATTAGCACTATAACTGCTACTTATAATAAATTCAGTAGGGTGAAATTCACATTTTACATCACACAGACTTGCTGTGAATAGAATACAGTCCAAGTAGCAACATTTTAGAACAGAATTACCAAGTATCACAAACAAATCACTCTCAAAAGGCTCTTTATTAATTGGTAATTAATGTGTTATTAACAGAAAAATATTTTTTTTGACAGAACCCAATTGGCAAGGGGAAACATCATGTGAAGTATAAATTTGAACAGCATTTTTGGCTTCAAAGACTATTTTATTATTATTTTAATAGTGTTAATAAACTTTATGAGGTCACCTTATGAAACAAATGTATTGAGCAATATATATTAAAAAATTAAATAAACTTTGGTAACTTGCTATCATGTTAACTACAGTATAACAACAAATTCAATAAAAACGTGGCAAATAAATTTAAATTTGTATCCCAATTTTGTAACATCCATGAGAGCACAGCCTTTCATTATCGGTCATATTTATTATCCCATAATTCAAGAATTTTAGATCTAAATTATCTGTAATATTACACAAATAGGTACATTCAGTACTGTATCTCAAAAGGAACAGGATGTAATTGTCTACAGAAGTTTTAGTGTTTGTTAGTTTGTGCCTACTTTTTCCTCATGTAATAATCATCCTAGCAGCAGTAGCAAACTTATAACCTCGATTTGACACTAAGAGGCACAAAGAGCAAAAGAAAATGCAAAAAAAGTAACTTTCTACACATATAAAATGAATCTAGAAGCAAGATCCATTAACAAGCGCTATAATTCAATCCATTCACCTCGTTTTCACAATTCTGAAATGTTATTTAGTTCATCAAAAGTGTGCCAAAGAGCAAACTGCTAAATATTCAGGTAAGTCTTAAACAGACTTAAGTGTCAAGCCTCTCTTGAATCATAATAAATGGTTATTTGCGATCGTATATCAAATAGTTACTGGACCACAGAACACTTGAGGTATTTCAACATTAAAACATTACCGATGAGTCTAGTCATTTAGGCTACACGGGTTTCAGAGAACATCAGATTGCTCGATTTCCATTTCAATGCCCTCGCAAATGGATTTTGCTTTATATTTCTCTCTGATTTTTGTGGAAGACCTAAGGAGCACTTTCAGCTTGATGTGTGATATTTTTATAGCATCTCATGACACAGAAAATAACATGAGTGGAGACACAGGCCTCTAAAAATATAGTACATTACTTCCAATGAAGGTCAGAGACACAAAAACATGTACTTCAGCTATGCTCTTCTCAGAAATTCGCATTATTTCACTGGACCAGGTTAAAAACATAGAGTATACTGAATGAATATCAGTAAACATAATCGTCATTTTGTGAATTTGCTCTCCGTGATTTTCACTGCAACTACTCCAGCCTGCTGGATATTCAATTAGATTTGGACTCCATTCTAAACTGCAAAAACATGATTTCCAAATTAAAATGTTGAAAATTTTTTTGCATGTTGATGTGGGTCGCATCCATGTCTCATTGTCCTTTCAGAAAACTGACTGCATGCTACAAAACAAACAGCTTTTAAATGACATCGAGTGCGAAGTTACGGATGACATCAACTGCTTGCGAGTCAAAGCCGCAGATGTCCAGCATGCCGCGGTCTTCAGGGTCAGCGACGGACAAGGAGTTGGCAATCAATCCGCACACAATCAGTTTGGAAAATAAACCGATTTTCTGAAAAAAGAAAACACAAACAGGATAAAAAATTAAGAAAACTATGTTAGAAGTAGTATCTTCAATTGATGTTTAATTTGTTTAATTATTACATGATAAGCCAACTAATTTTGAAAGAAATTTATTTTCATTTTTATTCATTTAATCAGCAATGACATGATCAAAAGTGACAGTAAAAAAATGTGTTACAAAAGAACTATTTCAAGTAAATACTTTTTTTTCCTATTCAACAAAGAATCCTAAAAAAAAAAGTTTCCACAAAAACAGTTAAGCAGCACAACTACGTTCAAGATTGATAATAATTAGGGGCTGTCAAAAAGATTTGTTTTAATTCAAAATATTTAAAGCAATTAACACAGCATGCATTTTTTTCCCTTTTTCCTGGCATCCTTTGGCTGGTGTTGCAGTACTATGAAGCATGACTATCAAGCATGATGAGATACAGTTAATTCAATACTGGCCAGTAATGCACTCTCTCTTTCATGGACAAAAACACACAAAAATTATGTCAAAATGCCCGTTTTTGGCCTCGTAAACATTCTTAAATTAAATAAAAAGACCTAAATGACCACAAAGAGTTGGGGTAAAATCAGATGTGTGTCAGATCGGCGTCATGTGCATCAGGTTTTAAAGAGACAGTGCTGCTTTTAAAGTGAAACCTGCTGCAGTATGTGTCATTGATGGAAATCAAAGAACAAAAGAAAAAAGAAATCACTCACTGCTCTCCTTGCTGATTAATGAAGAAAGATGAATCTATATGCGATCTACAGGTTATGCATCTACAATTTATAGTTTATGTGAAGCTTGTTTTAAGTTCACTATTTTTAAATGTTAAAAATAATGGCTTTCAGTTATACTGTAATGTTGAATGGCTATAATTAATGGCTAAAATTAAGGGAGAAAAGCATTTAATAGAGACATCAGTAGCTGTATTGGTATCAGTGATGATTATTCATAATAATTCATTATTAATAATTAACAAGAATTCATTAATAATAGGCTATAAAAAATGCCATTAAACACATACTTAAAATATACCATCTTAATGTTGATTCTACATTAATTTGGAGATTCAATGTGAAATTGTGTCAATATAAATATACTATATTAATCAGTGTTGGGTTTAACGCGTTTCTGTAATTAAATTACTTATCCACTGAAAAAGTAAAGTAAGTGTCACGGAACTGCTGCTGTGTAGGAGCGCGGAGCAAAGGAGCGAGGAGACGTAGGCGAATTTTACTCATTTTAATAATCAAAAGGAAACAGAAAAACACACGTAGCTAGGTTGACATGAACAATTCCAGACAAGGGAGAACAGAATGGGCTCAAACGCAAATAGGGCAGATAACGAGGGGCAGACAGGTGATGAGGATAACTAATAACAAGGAACAGGTGATTACTAATAATGGGAAAAGGAACTGGAAGGACCAAATAAGGTCAAACAGGAACTAAACAGGAACACACACGTGACAGTAAGGGATTACTGTTCATTTTTAGGTAATTTAAAGCTGCAGTCCGTAAATTTTGCCTCTTTGTCGCCATCTCTGTTTGAAAACCTGCAATTGCAGCTGTGTGCGGAATTATCTTCCTTGCGTGGGTTGTGCTCCGGCACGGCTCCAGCGCGGATTAATCTAATGTTTTGAGGAGTATGTGTGGCTGTCAGTCACCGCACCGGTGTGGATATTCACTGTACTTCGCAATCACAGATTCTAGCCTACCTCTTGGAATATATGAGCCAAATAAGAATTTTCACCAGATATTGTCTTCATATCACCAGATATTGTCTACATATCACATCAAACCATGCAAATTATTATTTTTGTTATACTTTATTCTCAAATTGTTAATGTTAACAACATCAGCATTACGTGACTATGTGAATATAGTGTGCATTAGCTTGTAGATTTCAATTTCTGTACAGTCTAATCTCTAATTGTCATACCATTCGAATTTCATATTAAGAAATTATTTTAACCTAAAAAGCTAATTATGCTCCCTTCGAACTGGTTTTCTTTAAAATACAAATCTTTGTAATCCCAGGCTATCTATAATCAGAACCACATTTAAAACTGGAATATAATTTAATTTCATTCACATGCATTTCATAAACACACAGTCCTCTCTGCATTATAATTAGTGGTCGACCGATATTGTTTTTTTGACAGCCGATGCAGATGCGGATATCTTGGAAAGCAGGGTGGCCGATGGCCGATATAAAGCCGATATAATTTTATTTAGCATGAACGGTATACGAGTGGAGCTGAGCGGAGCACACACGCATATAGCGGGATAATACGCAGAGTGTCACACCAAGTGAAAGTGAAACCTGAGCGGTGAACTAAGTTTCGGCAGCCGAAATTTCGGTGCATCTCTAATTATTGGTGACATCAGAAATGGATATTATATAATAGATGCTTTTTTGAACATTTTAGCAATTTAAAAATATTAAAAAATGATTTTTTACACGGCACCCCTGCTCTCGACAGACGGCACCCCGGTTGGGAAACACTGCTTTAAGGTTTATAGGGATTTTAAGATGTAGCTTAATTAGCTATTTGAATAATTAAGTTACTTATTGAGTAAATAAATGACTTTTCAGACGGAGTAATTAGTAAAGTAATTTAAATACAATATTGATGATGTAATTAGTAATTAGTAATTAATTACTTTTTGAAAGTAACTTACCCAACACTGATATTAATATGCGATTAATTGCAGAAAAATGTGTGATTAGATTTTTTAATCGATTGACAACACTAATAATAACCAGAAATGTTTCTTGAGCAGCAAATCAGCATATTGGAATGATTTCTGAAGGATCATGTGACTGAAGACTGGAGTAATGATGCTGAAAATTCAGTTTTGTATCACAGGAATAAATTACATTTTAAAATATATTTAAAAAAGAAACCAGTTATTTTAAATTGCAATAATATTTCACAATATTTCAGTTTTTAACTGTATTTTTTTTTTGCAAATAAATGCAGCCTTGGTGAGCATGAGAGACTTGAGTGTAGCATATATTTGATAAGATTTATCTAATAAATGAAAATCAATCAAATACTTTAAAAAGTCTTTAAAAGTCACATGACTTTTGGTTTCCCTTTCAGGTTGCACTCACTTGTCTATACGTCTTCAGTGTGTCTGCTGGATTTTTCCTCCCAAACGTTTGATTATTAGTGAAAATGATGAAGACGTCCACAGATTTATCATTCTCTGAGGCCCAGGTGATGGGTAAGGCACAGTCTGTGCTGCCACCAGGTGTCTAGAGAGAAGTCACATATGAATTATTATGACAACAGATAAACTAGATCTAATCATTCACAAGGGGGTTTGATGATCTATTTTTTATTGTTTGAATACATTTAGGATTCTGTGATTATGTTGTGGTCTTGCAGCATTAACAGCAAGCAAGATTTCTCTACATTTTCACAAGAAAATGAGAGTAAAATCTTTAAAGCACAAGCATCGTCTTACCTGGATGAGCTGTGCTGCTACTTGCATAAATGTCATATCAGAAGAGACAGCGCAGGGACGAACGCTTCCTTCAGAGAAAACCACAATCTGTGCGTCTGGCTCCGTCTGTGCAATCACCTGCCATTAAAATAAAGACAATCACTAAATATCTTCCTAAGCTCACTTTGAAAATTAATTCGAGGCTTCACTTCTTTTTTTTTTTTATCTCATCTGTTTTTTGTTTTTTTTTCTTTCAAATATGTAGGAGCTACCAGAAAATAAAATACTAAGAAGATAAAGATGTAGCAAACAGGTGATTATGTTCATGTAAAAGGTCTTAAAAAAAATTTAACATTTAAATGTGTCACAACGGTCACAAAAGAAGATTTTTTTAAATGGGTAAATATTCGACCCCATGATATAGTTTGATGTGCACATTCATCTTTCCTATGTTGACCGATTGCCAACTAAAACAGGAAGTATAAAATTATTGTACATTTTAACCCTATAAAGCCTACTGTATCATAGGAATCAAATGATACGCAAATATGTAAGGCTCGAAATTATCAACATGATCAAAACTTGTTGTACTTGTTAAAAACCTGTTGTACACAATCAACTACATGCCTTCTGTCATCTAACTAATAGTTTATACTTATTTACCAAATAATTAAATGTGTTTTGCTGTGAAATCTTTACTGATTTTTTATAAACTAAACATTTAGAATATATTTTTTTATATTCTCAGTAATAAAACAACTTAGGTTTACTTGATTAGCCATAATAAAAAAAAAAGTTAAAATGCATCAAATATGATCCATCAGGTTTTTGAGAAACATTTATTTGTGCATCATTGTATTGCACTGATTTATAAAGTACGCTTTGCCCCCACAATAAAAACTATAGAGTATGGTCATAAAACTAGGAATTTAAATATCATATTATTTAAACGTCATATTACTGGGGGATATAGAGTGCCACCTGTTTTTATATGGATTTTATGCAACTAATTTACTATAAAGGCTTGATTGATTTGCATCACAAACTATCAGAAATTCATCTCACTTTAAATATCAGCAAATGCACCAAATTTTCCTCAAGTTGGGCCACTAAATAAAATCAAGGTTTTTTCAAAATTCTCACTATATCATAAAATATGAGCTATAAAAGCCGGGTCTATCAAATACGATATTTAACAAACACACAAAAAAGAAAAAAAAAAAAAAACGTGCAAACTTTTTCAGATTTCTGTTTATGTTTTGTCTAAATGTTCTTGTGATAAAACCAAGCGGCAACCTTCGCTCTCTCTCGTGAAACCAACAAGGAAGTGACTAAAACTGCAATTCATCGACTGGCCACTAGAGGCTGGCTCCAAAAGGGAGTCAATCCCATAGACTCCCCATGTTAAAATGCCCAACTTTACAGCAGAAAAAAAACACGTTTACAGCCTGGTACAAAAAGTGGTTTTGGTCCATATAGCTAATTTTGCCCTTTATGACAACTGTGAGGGGGGTGAATTTTTTTATAACTCATCCGTTTAAATTATATTAAGCCTTAAAGTGCTGCATAATTAAGGGTGTGGCCACTTGAGTGACAGGTGGATTGCCACTGCTGTCAACACTGTCGAACTTGGTGGGCGTGGTTTCAGCAACCAGCTCCCGCCTCTTTGCCCATTTTCGATTATCCGGGAGTGACACACTGCCAAGATGGCGACGGCCGGCTCCGCCCACTTTGAGCTTCAAAAACGCTATTCAGAAACCTACGGGTAACGTCACGGACAGTACGTCCATGTTTTTATACAGTCTATGGAAAAAACATTAAAAAAAACCTTCCATTTAAAAAAAATAAAAAATTCTGACTATTAATATGAGCTATAAAAGTCTGGTCTATCAAATACAACATTTAACAAACATGCAAAAAAGAAAAAAAAAATAACACGTGCAAACTTTTTCCGATTACTGTTTATGTCTAAATGTTCTTGTGAAAAAACTTTTAAAAAAAACTTCCATTTAAAAAATAATAATAAAAAAAAAAAAGATTTTTCTGACTATTATTTTATATGTTATGTTTTAAAGGGTCAGAGGTGTATATCAACTACTTTCAGGCATGAACTAGCATGCAGACAGCATTAAAGCTAACACAAATCAAGTCACAAAAGTCTTGATCTCATGGGGTTTGTACATTCTTGGTTGGTTATAATCAACATTTCACTATTCTTAAAGTGTCTGAAAAGTCTTTAAATGAGTCGCATATGAGAGGAGTGCACTGGAGAGGCCATCCATCGTTGTTTACAGGACCAGAGCGTCCCATCAGAAAAGGAATATGCATGGAATGTGAAATACGAGCGGGGCGGACCCCGACAGCCACACACACATCCTCCAAGGACAAAATATTAGCTTAAAATATGACATCAGTCTCTTCACAGACTTCATCGTGTTGTGTAACAGTATTGGAGTAAGTTTGCAGTGGTGTGTCTTACCAAACACATGGCCGCTGCCACTGCCACAGTGCTGATGGAGCTGCCGTGAGTCACGCTGCTCAGAGAAGAACTTACATCCACTGCCACCAGAAACCTCTTGCCTGTGGGCTCCACAGTCTGGAGACACAAAGAGTCGCAGCTTAACATCACAATATGACTTCTGTAGTCAATGGAAGCAATGTGTTCTATAGCTTATTTCACGACGGCACTCACTGAACTACTTTTGCTGAAGGCGAGGTCCAGGGCTTGAACAATGTCTCTGTCCGGATCCCATTTCAGTTTGCTACGCTTCCCATGACCTCTCTTATAGTTTTCAGACGCCACAAGAATCTTGAACGGGTGTGTTTTTGCCTGAAGTAGTTGATTTGACAGTCAAAATGTATATTCAAGTATTTGGACTTTCAAAAAAAAAAAAATGTTTTTAAATTTTCTATTAAATTTTAAATTTCACTTAAAATTCACAAATGCCACAAAATTAGAAAAAAATACATTTTACTTAATATTATTGCTACTATAAAATATAACACTTAGCACACAGCAAACCACTTAAAAAGGTGTTTCGGTTTGTGTGTGTATACATATACATACCATTATACATATAATTTTTTCCCCCTAAATATTTGGACATTTTAAATTTTATTCATTAAAATGTATGAATGACATTAAATTAGAAAACATTTTATTTGTGAATATTATTACCACTACAAAACAACAAACCGAACATCATTTATCTTGTATAAATATATCACTTATCTGGAAACCATCAGAAAAAAAGTTTTTAGGTTTGCAATTATAAAACAATACATATTTGTATTCAAGTATTTGGAAATTTTAAATTTTACTTAATGTATGAATGTCATTAAAATAGAAAACATTTTGTTTAATATTATTATTACTACTACTACAAAATAACAAATCACGCATAATTTATATTAAAGAAATTAACACTTTCCCAGCAAAAAAAAAAGAAAGAAAGTTTTTAGGTTTGTAACTATAAAACATTAAATATTTCTATTAGGGCTGTCAATCGATTAAAATTTTTAATCTAATTAATCGCACCCCTTTTCTGTGATTAATTGTGATTAATCGCACACTTCATGAAATTAAGCATAGACCATTTATCTTGTTTCAAATGTTTATTTTGTCATCATTTGCTATATTCAGCAAAGTAAACCAAAAGATTGAAGGGTGATTCTCAAAAATCTGTATTTTCTGCAAGCTTTTTTCAAGATAAATGTAGATGTCTTTCTAAAAAAGGACACCAAAGAACCAAATGATTTAAGGAGCCCATATAAGCACATATGAAAGAAAAAAAATGCTAAAATATAGTATGTGCACAGTGCAACACCAAAGAGCTTTTTTACATTTTAGAGAAG